CAGCTGAATTCCCGAGACCAGAGGAAATCCAGGTCTCCTACTCCTCCGCCATCTTGCTCCGCCACTACCATACAATTTATTTTTGCCTTCAACTTCATTTTGCCTCAAAATTCAGCACTTGCCCTTTGTTCATTTTTGCACAAAAAATTTTCCAACCCTTTATTTTGAAATCCTGCATTCTTTTGTCTTAGAGCTTGCAAATTTTCACTACGTGTCAAGTAGATAATACAACACCAGAATTTTCTTTTTTTTTTTTAAGTAATTCACTTCTTTTTTTTTTAAGATTTATTTATTTATTTTTGAGAGAGTGAGAATGAGAGAGAGAGAGAGTACATGAGAGCGGGGAGGGTTAGAGGGAGAAGCAGGCCCTGCGCCGAGCAGGGAGCCCGATGCAGAACTCAATCCCGGGACTCCAGGATCATGACCTGAGCCGAAGGCAGTCGCTTTAACCAACTGAGCCACCCAGGCGCCCACAACACCAGAATTTTAAAAATCTGTTCTCTTCGCAGCAACTGGTATGTTCTTTAAAACACGTGGATGAAATGATATCTTTCCCCTAATTAGATCCTTCCATTGTCTTTGCCTTTCTCCTAGAATTTACCTTAAGCTCCTGACTCTTCCATCCAGAACCCTGCAGGACCTGCCTCCCTCCTGGCAGCCCTCTGCCCCTCACTAGCTCACTCAGCCCAGCCACTCTGGTTCTTCTTCCAGTTTCTTCCACAGGCAGCCTTGCTTCTGTCCACAGGAATTGCCTCAATTCACTCTACTGCCTCCGATTTTCCTTTAGATATTTGCCTGGCTGTTTGCTGTTCATCTTTCAGGCCTCAGCTCATATGGGAGCTCAAATGCGTCCACTGGCAGGGAGGCCTTTCCTAAGCAGGCGTCTAGTTAAACGAGCCCTCATCCCGTCACACTCAGGCCCAGCAGCCCAGGTTACTTTCTGTACTGCCTTCCCTGCCGAGACAAAGTTTCTTGTTTATTTATGATCTCAAGCTCTGTGATATCGGAGACCTCATCTGGTTATCACTGCTACAGCCCTAGTGCCTGGAGCCACGTCCAGCATTTAGTAGGTGTCCAGGAAAATATGTGTAGAAATAAATTCTTGGAAAAACAGAAAGCCGAGGTATCACAAATGATCCACAGAAGTTACCTAGGTGAGGCAGAATGCTCATAGCAATTGCTAAGAAGTTGTTCTTTCCCCTGACCCCCTGTGTCCACCTTCAAGTTTGATAAGACACCCTCCAAATTCACAAAATCCAGTTTTCTTAAGGCTGCACTTCAAGAAAAAGCTGAGCTGCTAACCAGTGCAGTTCTTCTTGGTGTTCCTTGCTCTCACCTCTCTCCAGGGGCAAGTTTGTCTGAAAATTCAAGACCCAAGGAACTTCCAAATGAGCCACCCACCCACCTCGCCCAGAAAGCTCTCCCCACATGCCAAAGGTTAAATATTTATTGGGTATATTTTAATCAGAAATAAATACATGATTTAGCAAAGTGTAATGCTTCCCAGTTAGAAATACCTCTGAGTGCTCCCCGAAAGTTCCCAGCACACTAGTTACAACGGAAAACAATGCATAAGACACCGTACAAACATCTGGCTTTTGCGAGGTCACCCTCCCTGGTGGTGGAAGTCAGCGTCCACAGTGTTATATTCATTTCCCACACATCAGCTGGCCCCTTGAAATGGCCTTTAGGGTTTCTTGCGGGAAACCGTAAATGTCTTCTTGTATAAACACACAAGAGTCTGATGATACAGAAAATCACGTAAATGCATATACACATACCACCAGCACAGTGATCTCAGATCTACGGAATGCGTGTGGTGAACAGACAGACATTTTGTATCAGGCAGCGAAGGGTTCCACGGGCACCCCTCCCCCCAAATCCCTTTGCAACAGGGGAAAATGAGTCATGGGTGCATCTGCAGCCCCCTTCCTAACAAGATCCGGATGGACAGCCTCAAGATAAATACTTCTCCTTTTCTAGAACTTTGCTGTGCTTTCTCTCTCATCTCTTAAAATTAGTAGGACAGAATTAAAGCCACTCTGCCTCCCTTCTTTCCTGGAGCTCAGCAGTTTTCTTCATGTGGCTGCCAGGCCCTTCTTAGAATAAAACACTGATGATACAGAAAAATCACGTAAATGAATGAATCCTTTAGAATTAGAATTAATTCTTTAGAATTTAATCAATTTCCCATTTCCAAAAAGGCCAACCATTCTCGCCTACTCAATCCAGCTGCACTTACCCTCTGTGAAGGTGCAGCTGAGACATGAGCTCATGGGCCACCCTTGCCTGACCCGGTCCCCCCGGAACCATGAGCTGATCTCTCCTTCTACAACCCACTTTCACAATATTTGTCTGTAGATTTTTCTCCCTGTCTATACTGTGGGTGCCTCTGCTGGTCCTTTTTTCTTTTCTTTTATTCCCTTTCTTTCTTTCAACCTGACATAGGACCTAACACAGTTAGCTCTTCAGGCAATCATGAGTAAACAACTGATGCATTATTGTTGGCAAGAGTCCCAGCCTGTCAGAGAAGCTCTTTCTGCGCCACGAAGCCACGGCTGGGGACACCAGGAAAGCTTGCACGACTCCAGGGCGACCCTCCCATTTTCCCACAAGCAGCCTCCCTCTCTCCCCTTTGCCTGGCCCTCTATGGAGGCAGGTAAGCTGTCTGATTCCTGGCACCAGCAGGCCACCGGGATCTCCTGATTCAGGGATGATAAGGAAGATTAACATTTAGTGTCACTGAGTTCCGTTAAAAAGAGAGGAGCTGCGTACCAAAGGTCTCTTTCTGGGTTGGTTAGAAAAGCTCATGGCAGGGGACCTGTTTGCAAACCTGGACTGGCCAGACCCCAGCTTGCGGCTCATCTTCTTCCCAGGCTTTTCTTGTTCCAAAGTTATCTCCGATGAGCTCAGAGTGTGACCATTTGGACAGTTCGTTGAACAGTCTTGCGCACTTTCTTGTGAGATAATGTCTTTATCTTTCCCACAAACACAACGAGCACACACAAGTACACGGGGCTCTTCTGAAATGTTGCCCAATCACATCGTGATTCAACGTTTCGTGATATCTCAGTACTGATCAGACACGAGGGAGGGGTTCCCTTTGTCATGATGTGGACAGAGAAGATGTGAGTTCGAGTCTCCATGTGCCTTTTCTTGGCTTCTGGAAGATGTGTGGTTCCCCAGCGGCCGGGGAACCATGCCTCCTTGCCATATCCCAGGTGACAGTTCCAACCTCTGTTATTTTGGGTACACAATGGTGTCTATTCTCCGGCTAGTCTTCAAAATATGGTGGTGATGAGAAGAAGGAGCTCTTCCTCTTGCTCCCGCTGTATATCAAGGACATGCTTTTCTTCTTGCGATCAAAGGAGGTGTTGTCATCGCTGGTCAGGGACAGGTAGGAAGCGATGCTTTCTCGAAGGCCGTAGCTGAAAAGGGACTCATCCACACCAAGTGGGTTCCTGGCTCCCTCAGGGTCCTCTTGCAGTCTGTGAGTGCGAAGAATGGGGACAGAAGAAGGGAAAGAGACAGACATAGAGACAGGGAGAACAAGAAAATGGGAGAAGGAAAAAAAGAAGAAAAAAAAGCCTGGTTAATATTTCTCTAACTTATTGTTCTCATTCTGCTTCTTACATTTGTGACCATGTGATCTTGGAGAAATCACTTAACCTCTCAGAACCACCATTAACTCGAATGGCTATAACTTCCAACTGCAAATTTGAATGAATATTTCTTTATGACATTTACAAGGAAGAGTAGATTTTCTTCATCTCCCAGGCAATTCTGGTCTCTGATTTTCTTTGAATTTGCCAATGGAATGTCAGGATCAATGTTTGGTTAAGATAACTCACTAACTCCCAACTATAGATATTCTACAAAATGCAATGGCAGCGAGGCCTGAAGCTGGGTTAGGGTCTCCCAGGGGACAGTGGGATTCTGTGGGTTGCAGAGTGTCCCGCTCAGCTTTCCACAGCGAGGGCTGTAGGCTGCCATATTTTCAGCTGTCAGCCTCTCACACAAGTTTGGGGTTCATACATTCATGCAGGACACACACACACACACACACACACACACACACACCCCACCTGGGCACCCTCTTCCAGTCGAAGGTCTTCTGGCGCAAGGTGACAGGCGAGTCAGGGGCCCTCACGGCCGGGGTGGCCGTGCTCTGAGTGAGGCAGGGTGTGGTCAGCACACAGCAGAGGCCATCAGCCACCTCTAAGGAGGGAAGCAGACAACTGGTCAGTGACCCTGGGATGCCCCAGCCAGCGTGGGGTGTGCGGCCTGAGGGACCATCCAGTACAGCCCCCTGATTGTTCACATGGGGAAACTGAGGCCAAGATAGGAAAGAGGCATGGCAGGGCAGAGAGTCAGGCATCCAGTTGTTTAAGAAATGTTAATGTGCCCTAAAAATGTACTGTGCTTAGGTCAGAGCAGGAGCAGGTGAAGCATTAAGATTGGCTCCAGGATCAAGTACACTTGGATTTGGATTTCAACTGCGCCCCTGATTGTGAATCCCTTTGAACCTCTCCGAGCCTTGGTTTCCTGGACCGCACACTGAGGGGACAGGCTAACAAGTGAGAACAGCTGACAGGAGGCCCGGCCTCTCAGGTTTCACGCTCGAGCATGGCTCCATCATGGCTCCATCATGTGTGCCATGTGCGAGGTGGGGTCCAAGTCCGAGGAACGGCGCTTCCTCCTGCACAGGTGGCTCATGCATGTGCAGGAAGACGGGAGAATAGAACACGCGCACAAAGAAGACAGGAAGGAAGAGGGAGTGAGCAGGAGGGCGGGAATAAAGAAAGGCGGGAGGGAGGAAGGGGAGAAAGTAAACACAGAACCAAAAAAGAAAAGACACCCGCAAAGAAGGAGGGTGACTTAGACAAAGATAAAGGCAAACAAGAGAAAGTGGACAAAGGAAAAAAAGAAGTATCTCTCTCCTCTAGCCTGGGTGCTCATGCACAAAGAGAATGAAAATTAAATAGTCCACTGCTTCCCTCCCCCTAACATCGCCCCCAGGGCCGCTCATCTCTCCAGGAGCATGGGGTTCTAGCCTCCACCTCCATGACTGTGGGACAGCTTTGGTTCTGGCTGTGCTCAGACTTTTTTTTTTTTTTTTTTTAAGATTTTATGTATTTATTTGAGAGACAGAGAGTGACAAGCAGAGAGCATGAGACGAGGGAGGGTCAGAGTGAGAAGCAGGGAGCCCAATGCAGGGATCGATCCTGGAACTCCCGGATCCATGACCTGAGCTGAAGGCAGATGCCCAACTGACCGAGCCTCCCAGGTGCCCCTCAGACGTTCCTATAGACGGAGAAAATCCCGTGTGGCTTTGTTCAGGCTGCAGACCCCAGTGCAGGGGGCACGGAGCGGCCGAGGACATGAGACATTGCTGGCTTGCAGCAGGACAGAGGCCCCTGGCCTGGAGCTGATCCATCACCAGGTTGAAGGGAGCACATTTACTTCTGGCCGTCTTCGCCTCCCAACTTATTTAGGGAGCTCTGGGTGGTCTTGCCAAGGAACAAAAGGAGGTTGTAGCTGAAGAAGCAAACCCAGGCTAGCAGAGTGTGGCAGCCAATAATGCCTTGTTTCTTGGCGTTTGGTCTGACTTTCACCGTGAACTCATATGTCCACCCACACTGGTCGAAAATGCGAGATTGGACCCTGAGATTAGGGGGAGCTTAACTGGATGTGCATCTGAAATACTGCCCGGTCCTGGGCTGGAAGTTGAAAGGACCTCCCAGGTTAGGAGGTGAGGGAGATGGAGGGGGACGGATACTGAAGCCACCCGTGCCAGGAGACCGCACAGGGCGGAGGGGGTCTGTGAGAGCTTAACCCCGAGGGCGAGCCGGAATCCCCACAACGAGTAGAAGGACCAACACCTCCAGCACCCCACTGGAGCGCCGTGCTGAGCTAACCTCCACGCTTCATCTCAGCGCGGCCCCCACAGCTCTGAGCGGCGGTGTTTTTACACCCACTTGGAGGAGGATCCCTGGGCTCAGGTCACTTGCTCAAGGTCGCAGAGATGTGACCCGAACCTGCCTCACTGACTCAGAACCAGATACTTGTTCCGAAGGCAATCCATTACCTCCAAAATCGGGAGAGAGGGGTCCTATCTGCCTCTGAGGTCTGGACACACCCCCCTCAGTCTCTCCACTCTGCAGAATTTTCCACAACACTTGTTCCTCTCACACGCCTAGGCTCCCAACCACTCTACATTCAGGGGTCCCCCTTTTCAGCCCTTTGCTTTCCTGGCCATATTTGGGGAGTTGTGCCCCACCTCCTCTGTCCTCTCAGTCACCACCAGGCATGGGGATCCTTTAGGGGCCAGACCTTTCCACTCATGGTTTTGTGCTTGGTCCTAACAACAGTCTCATAAGAGGCATGGGGACTAAAGTCCCCATTTTAGAGATGAAGAAACTGAGGCTCCAAGATGTTAATGAATTTTCCCAAGGCACCAGGTAATAAATATAAGCCACCTGGAACACGAAGATGTCTGTTCAGAGCCCTTAGCACAGAAGTTTTTTGATTCTCTGTCTCCGGGTAGAATCTGGAGGGAGGTAAAACTGGCCATGTTGTTTCCATTTGGGGGTCCCCAGGGGCACAGGAAGCCCCTGACACAGTGGCCAAGGACATATTTCTGGAAGGCACTGCTCTTGCACTGGCACAAGCTGCTTGGGTGCTCTTGGCCTGGATGCCTCATGGGTCTCCCGGTCTGTACAATCTTTGCTGGAGCAGCATCCTTTTCATGTTTGCTTTTGTCTATGCAAAACTTATGGTCTCCCCATCCCTCTGATGATTGTTATTAAAAACCAAATACCACAACCAACCTTTACTCATAATCAGTAAAAGTTGACTATCTCCAGGACTCCCTTCCTCTTTCATTTTTAGCTAAGCTGCTAGGTTTCCAGGCATCAAAGAAGTAACATTTGGTATCATGTATTTTGCATTTGCTCCCTTCCATAATTACACTACATTAGGGTACACGTTACATTAACAAGCCAGTCATTGCCACCACCTGCCCGGGGGCTGTTGGCATCCACCTTCCATGAACGGGGTGCTGCAGCTGAGAGATGGGGGTCTCTTCCCAATGTCTCCCAGAGCCCGGATCCGAGCTTGGGCCTGTGTCTCCCAAGAGACCATTCCGCCTCTATGTCCTGCCCTTCTTCTCACTGGGCAGGTGTGATAACCCAAGCCCTGTGGGCTCCTTTCACCTTGAAACGCCCTTCAAGACCCCACACCTTGTAGAATGCTAGCAAAGACACCCAGGGGTGTGAGGTCTTGAACCAGAAGTGGGAAGACACATACAACATGAGAGCAACTTCCTCCTTCCTCCAACAGGCAGGGGAAGGGAGGAGGAAGGAGGAGTCCTGGTCCTAGGGACAGAGGCCAACTGAGCAGGAGCCCACCTTTACATGTCAGGCCCTCCCCTCTGCTCTTTCCCTTCATTATCCCGAGGATTCCTCACAACACCCTATGGCACAAAGGCGAACAACAAGCCCGGGGTTGCCCAGAAGATCTGGGATGTGAACGCAGAGGTTCCAGGGCCAACTTTTTACTATTTCCCCCTTTTCCCATGAGGTAAAACGTCACCTCCAGACCTGGCATTCAGGCCTGTTACAGTCTAACTCCGATCTCCTCTTTTGACTCTACTCTTCCCTGTCACCCCCATCAAAACCCTCTCTGCTGCTGTCATCTTGGAGGGTGCTCCCCATCCTGGCCGGTGTGGAACACTGGGACCTCCCTCCTGGGCCCAGAGAAGCATCTCCAGGAACAAAGTGCAGCCCTGGTCTTTAGAGCTTGCCAGAAAAGCCAGACTAGGACACAGTTCACTCGGTCACGAGGCAGACGGACCCTCTTCGAGGGAAATGCCGGCATGTACGGGAGCTGAGAAGACAGGCAGTTGATCCTGACTCCTAACACATATCAAGAAGGTGTTTGCTACCTGTTGCCTTGAAGGGTGAGGAGGATTTTGCCAGGCAGGAAGGGACATGAGTGGCATTTCAGAACAAAACCTCAGGGGTCCACTTAAGGAAATGCCAACAGTTTGCCATTGCAAATATTGAGGTATGCTATTTCTTTCCAACTGCAGGTGGAAAGAGGGTGAGGGTGAGGTCGAGATTAGCTGCATTTTACCTACTCATGCAGCCTTCGCAGGCAGCCTGTTTTAACTTGAAACCTACAGTCTGCATTAACAAGAAAAGAGCAGATTAAGGGAGCAGGGTGAGAGCCAAGTCAGTCACCTGGCACGAGTCGGGGACCCGTGCCCGTCCTAGACACAGGCACCTCGGGGCAGTTAACCACGAGGGGCTTCATTGATCTGTCCCCATGGGGTGCTTCTTACCAGAATAGTGATTCACCAGGTCCTCCAGGCACTGGAAGGTGAGCCTCGGGGAGATGTAATACCAGTTGTTTGGCAGGCGAAAGATGCGGTAATGCTTCACCTGCCTGTGTCTCACCGAGAGAGAATAAAAACCTGCGGGAGATGGGGGCCGGGTCAGAGGCATCCCACATGGTCCCTGCGAGGGCGGTGATGGAGAGAATCCCTCAGCCTTGGGATGCAAGGAGAATACCCAGATGTGCACTCCTGCGTTTGGAGGAGCAGCTGCTAGGGCCCCGTCTTCAGGGAGTGCACTCACTCTGCAGAGACCCCAGGAGCACGCTCCTTTAGCAGCCCCACCACATTAGCCACACAGATTTTCAGGAACACCTGCTTAGTCTTTGCTCTGTGAGCCTACCATTCCGGGGGCTTCCACATCCTCTTCTGGAAAGCCAGCATGTCATACCACTTCCTGGTCCCTGCTCCCTCTTGGTTACGCTTTATGCTTGGTTTTCTCAGAAATTTGGAAAAAGGGGCAGCTAAGACTTTTTCTGGGTATCCCTAAGAAACATGTCCAGCATGCCATTTCTCCTTAAGCACCATGAAGGCAGTGATGCAATAGGGATTAGGAAGAGCAGAAATTGGGGCAAACACCTTCCGCTCTCCTAGCCTTGATTTTCCCAAGTGGAGAGTGGGAGACTTGGACCTAGGTGCCTTCTTCTCTATCCTTTGGGCCCCAGGAGTGAAAACACTCACTAGACAGTGAGTGAAGGACATGAGCATTTACTGAGTCTCTGCTGTCTCTCTGGGCTGCTCATGGGCTAAGCTATTTCCAAGTGCTGCCCCCAGATATGTTATAGATACAGAAACGAGGGTCTGAGCCCCTGAGTGCTATGGCCAGAGGCACGCAGCTTGGAAATGGCAGATCTGGGGTCTAACCCTCGTCCTGATGGGCATTCCTACTTTTGCCCCAGGCCTGCCCCTCTGAAGCCCAACAGGCATCTTCCTGTAACACTGACAGGAACTGGAAGTACGGTGAGCAGGTCAAAGGTGGCAGGTGGAAAATTAGCAGAACTTTGCATACCCAAGAGAGCAGAGCCTGCCACCCCACCCACCCCCAGCCCAGCCCCGGCCCAGCTCGGCTACAGATCTGCCTGAAAGCGTCTTTATTTTTAGATCAGCTCTGGAACCTCAAGCTGGGTTCTTCCCTCACTTGGCCATGCCAGCTTAGAAGTTCTATCTGAGTCTGGGTCTCCCACCTCTAGGGACTGCCAGGGCATGCACAGGAAACGTGGTCTTTGCTTTGATCTTGTTTTCCCCTAGCACATTAGAGTTTTTGAGAGAAAAGTTGTTCTTGAATTTTCTAACCATAGATAGATGGTCCCTGCTTCTCCACAGTAAGGCTGATGCTAATTTTGGTGAAGGGCTGAGCCCCAAAATGCACTGACCCTTAGTAGGTATGTGGGAAATACTCTCAGATATCACATTTTCTCTTCTTTGATATTGAGGACACAAGAAGCAGGCTAAGACCCTGAATGTATCTTTTGTTTTTAAAATGGTGTTATTCTTAGTTAGTCTGGGAAAGCCCTAACTGGTAAGTGTCTTGCTCCTGTGAGTTAAAGTGCTTACCACATCCCAGAAACTGTGCTAAGTACCTTCCTAGCGTCAATCCCATGTTCTAGGAAAGGGTACCCAGGCTTAGAGAGACAGGTGCCTGTCAGTAATGCATACAGCCAAAACTAGAATTCAGAGCCCTTGTTCTGAACCATGACAAAGAGCCCTGCTATTATGTTTTCACCGAATTACTTAACGTGTAAGATGTAAGGAAGTTGTGATGATAATGATCATGGTGCACAAGTAAGAGCATCCATCTGCCTGCCCTGATTCTCTAAGATGTCTGAATCCATCGTGGGGCACAGTGGTAACCAATGCTGGAAGTCTCCTGTGTAGCAAGAGCACTATAAGCACTATAAGTTATGATTGCATATGGCACCCCAGATGAATATACGGCCCTTGGAGAAGTAAACGACCCGCCCAAGGCATGGAGCTAGAGAGCGTGGGTGGGGCCTAGTCCCAAGCCTGCTCACTCGGGCCCAGTGCTGCCTACACCTGCTGTTTGCTTTGCTTCCCAGTTGATGGGACGTTTTGCGGCAGGGGAGCCTGCGGGGCTCATTGAGTCCGGCTGGCCATGGCCTCACCCTGCCAGGTCCCCCGCTCCCTGGCTCTGGGCCCCTAGCTTTCACACTGGCCTCTCCGGGGGGGTGTGGGCTGCAGGGAGCTCACCAGATCGGGTGGGTTTGCATGTATTGTGGGAGGAGGCAAAATGAACCGCGTCATGAATCAGTCCGGAACAAAAGCTGCTGCTCTCAGCCCCGGCATGGAAAGGGGAGTCAGAGGCCGCTCACCTTTCTTCGTCTCACTCTTTCGGATCATGAAGGAGCCCATCTTCGTGTCTGGCAGCTGGAGCAGCTCCTCTGCCTTGTCTCTGCCCAGCCCTTCAAACAGCCAGCTGGGAAGTAGAAGGGAAGGGAGGCATGAGTATCCTGAGCACACCCTTCCCCAACCAGGCAGGTGGTGCTGAAATTCAGAGCAAGGTCCAGTTCCTATAAAACTGTTGGGATTAAAAAGGGGTGGGCAATTGGCCCTTCCTTCCTCCCTCCCTCCCTTCCTTCCTTCTTTTAATCATTCAGATAAAATTCCTGAGCGCCTACCCCACGCCAGGTATTACATCAGACAACAAGGCCACAAAGATGCATAAAATGTCTTTCTCATCTTGTTCTCAAATGCCAGCTGGACCTTGCCCATTCTGTATTATATGACATAGAAGCATTCTAAACCTCAATGAGGTACCGAGATAAGGTTTGGCATTTTGTTTAAGGTCTCTGCCTTGTATTGTAGCCTCCGCACCACTCCCTCACCACCCCATGAGGGCAGCGACTGTCTGTCTGTTTGGGTTTTGTCTTTGTGTCCAGGGCATTGAGCTTGGTGTGTATTTGTGAATGAGTAAATGGGCACAAGAAAGACACGGTGTTGCATAATTGCACCAACTTAACAAGCCCCACATTGCATTCATTATATTCCCCTCCTGTCTTCTCTTGTTCAACATATTTTAAACAAAGTTGTCATTGCCTGATGCATTGACATGTGTTTCTGTATTTCTTGCTTTTTTATTTTTTTCACCTAATGGTTAAAAAAAAAAAAAAGCAGTTGTAATACTGTGGTCCAACTTTCCAACAGAATGTTCACCTTCCGTACGACAGCCAACACTCTTGAATATGCTTTCAGAAGCAGCTCCGTGCACAAAGGAATCTGTGTTCTAAGGAAGTGGGCACTTCCTCATTTTTCAGAACAGCCTCAGACAGATCCCAGCGTGGAAGAAAATGCCTTGTTAGCACTTGGCTGGGGTGCTCAGAAGCAATTATACCTCCTTGTTAACAGTCTCCGTATTTCAGGGAGTGATCCCTGGCTTTTAATCCATAGGTCTGAACTAGTGCATGCTGTGGCAAATATTAATGCTTCACTGCATCACATCCTTTGGTATCCCCAAGGCACACAAGCGAGTCCTTTTAGCACCGTGGTTGTGAGGCTGTTATAGGACCATAGACTTATAATTGGATACCGTTTATTTATGTACTGGCCTCAAAGAGCACTTTTTGTTGTTAAGATCATGACTCGGCCTAATACTTTAACTACCCCTTTAGTTCTGCCCAACATATGCGCTTAGTGTCTGTGACCAACATTCATCCTCCCAGGAAATTCCACTCATAAAAACGAATACAAGAAAAACAATAGCGACAGCCATGTACGAATACTAATTATGGGCATTATGCATATTATAGGCATTGAAGTCTGATCCTCACACACACCCCCTAAGAAGGGTAGTCTTGCCTTCCTTTCACTGATGAGGATACTGAAGGGTCAGAGTGAGTAAGTGATTTGTCAAAGTTACTGCATATCAGCAACTGGTAAAGCTAGACTTGCAATGCATTTTCCTCGGACCTCAAATTCCATAACCATTCTTCTGCACCGCCTCTCTTCCTCGTCGATATTTTAAAGACATTTATTGCATCTACTAGATCGGAAGCTCCAGTGGGCTATGATTACATCTTACTCCTCCGGGTTCCTCACCACCCAAGCCCCTGCCAGCATGCGGTACCACATCTTCGACGTGAAAGCGTTGATGCATGTTTGCTAAATGAGCGGATGGGTCAGTGACACGCAGCTGACTTGGAAGAGTTACTTTGACTGACGTCTATTTCAGACCATGGCTGTCGCAGCTGCTTTTGTCCCACCTCTGCTCCCCTTCATCATCCTTGGCTCAGAAATGGCTTTTGGTATTCATAATCAAAATCCATGACATTGCAATTAAATGCACGGAGTTACATTCTGCAAAATACGCAGGCAGTTACCTCTGCTTTCGGCAGGGGTGAGTGTGTAAAGTTGTTATTTCTGGACCCCTCCAAATAAAAAAAAAATAATGCTTTTCATTCTTCCTTCCTGTATGCTGAGGTGTGGCCTTGGTAGTTTGCCAGACGAGGAGACTGGGGGTCAAGGAGGTGAAGTAACTTTCCCCTGGCACTCATGGGGGCCTCTCTGCACACCTGCAGGGGAAGGCAGTGTGCTTGTCTGCTCCTCTCTCCTGCCCGATTCTTTCGAATTTCTCTTTTTCTGCCTGACTTCTCCATTTGTCAAGTTGGGTACGTAAGTGTTTTGGGTAGTAAGTGTTCTCTGTGTTCTGGATAGGATTTGATAAGAATCTAGCTAAGATGTACCAAGTGCTTACTGTAATGCTGGGCACTGTTCCAAGAACTACCCATGTATTACCCACCTCATCATCCTCGCAGCCCTGTACTTTGGTCTTACTATCTATTCTCACCCTTGTCATTCTGTATTGTGATCTCTGTCTGACAGATGAAGAAAGGAACCTGAGACAGGAGCTGTTGAGGAGCTTGCCCACTGTCGCACGGCCTGCAGGGGACAGAGGCAGGACGGCGACCCAGACAGGCTGACTTTTAGCAGCTGTGACCCTTTGATCACAGTTGCTGAACGTGTATCACTATGTGCCAGGAACGCAGCATTGGAGCCGAAAGGTCCAGCTCCCTTGTCTTACTGATGGGGAAACTGAGTCTCAGAAAGGGCAAGGGGTTCGCCAAGGTGACACCCTTCCTTATGGACTGAGTGACAGTAAGAGTGACCATCTTGAAACTTCCTTTCCACGGTGCCATGCCACAATCTCTCTGTGCGTGCTCAGCCATCACTAACATCAATATCATCCCTCATAGATGCCATTTCAGAAACGTACTCACCCGTGGTAAACTCTGGCCACACATATTCCAGGAATATAACTCTCTCGACCAGTGCTAAGGGAAATGGCTTTCCACCAGCCCCCTTCGCTGGAAGATAAGAACAGACAGGAGAGGGGGGACGGGTGAGTGGTAAAGCGAACGCATGAACAGAGTAATCAGATTTCACCCGGGCCATATAAGGCCGTTTCTTTTTCAAACCCATCATTAGCCACAGTTCTCCATATGAAACTATACTTTTTAAGTGTCTCCCTCATTCCAAGCTAACCAAGAACCCTTCCCAAATAGCTGGCACTAGCCACCTTTTGGGGATCCACAGTGAGTGTGCCAGACTTGGGGGCTTTTTAAAACCAAATGTTTACTACGCGGAATTACACCCTGCAATATAACCAAGATAGTTTGTCCGTATCAATGAGAATCTAAGTAAAAGGGGCTTAGAGCGCCCTATTTGTTCTATAGCCCATTTTGAGTCATGGAGAGACAGCAGGATGGAAGGCAATATTTTCTGTTTATCATCAGAAGCTTTCTCAGGCCCCTGGGTCCTCCTGCCTGAGCCCCCACTGCACTGGTCGAAAATATCAACACTGCCATGCGTGGAAGGTGAGACCAATATGGGAAGCAGAAGTTGGACCATAAAGGGGCTCAAAAGCCAAGTTAAGGAATTCAAATTTAACCCACCAGGCAATGGGGAGCCACTGAAGACTTTAGAGCACTGGCAGTATTAAAGATTAAGCCCTAGGATCTGCCTTATGGGCCAAATTTCTCCACTCACAATAGGACCAGGGCCCGAGTGGAGTTGGTCAACTATAACTAAAATCTAACGATTCCCACTCAAATTGAGTTCACCCTTTTTAAGGGATTGTGAAACATTTGGAAAGCCAACTCACTCAGAAATCACTCGTAGTTTCTCCCCTCGGCGGAATATGGGGGGGCTGATGTCAGGAGATGGGTAATCACTCAGCACGGCCAGGAAGTCGCTATCCAGTCCTGGGGAAACAAAGCCAAGGTGTATTCTCCTTCACAGGGAACCGAAAGGCGACCCACCCTGGGGAGGGGAGGGCCAAGACGAGTCCCTCCCGTGGACTTCTCAGCTGGAGATACATGACTTGCTTTGGAACAGTTTACAGCAGGCTCTCCTCTCCTCAGGGATGGTGGCACAGGGAGCTCGAAGGAACCCCAAGGTCGGTGATCCCCTTCCATTTGCAAGCCCGCCTTGGCCCTGACATTCTCCTCTGAGAAGTGGGGATCCTGAGTTCCTTGAAGCTGAAGTCACAAGATCTGGCTTCAAGGTTTGCCGCTGTGTCTACTGATCCCTGTCATCTTGCCCAAGTCCCCAAATGCCTACTAGCCTCGATTTCCCCATCTTTAACGTGGGGCTAATGCTACCTCACTACAGGGTCCATCTGGAGATGAGATGAAATTATGCAGCAGTGCCCCATGCATGATAAGGGGCCATGAAAGCTTCTTTTATTATTACCCTCCCCGGGGCCTGTGGGTCCCCATCGGTCACATACTGCGATAGGGTGTGTTGCGGTTGGGCTACATGAGTTCTGAGGACCCGCCAGGACTCAGAGACTCTAACTCTGAAATTCCACAAAGACACTTTTTCCTTGTGGGATATAAGGCACCATGCTAGGGTGGTGCCTATTTAATAGGGACTTTGGGGTAGGGGCAGGAGAAAAAGTAACTACTTTTCATCATGTGTCCATTGAAGGTAATTCTGGTGACATTTTGAAGAGGAAAGCATGCTGTCTGGTTCATGTGAGTACAGCTAGAGAAGGAGTGGTAATATGTGAATTCACTTTTTGGCACTAAGCAAAATCCTGTTTTATACAGCCTTAGCGGTTTGCTGGAATTTGGGTGCATTAGATGCAGGGTGTAGTTTTTGGGAAATAATATACCTTAAGAAAGGGCTGAGTCAGGACCTGTTTGCTCTGATGTTGGGTTTATCCCTCCATCTGCTGGCTGGGCATCTGAACTCAAAATTCTGGGTAATTTACCATGTATTCATTCCCTCAGCAATTGTTCATTGAGTATCTGGGCCAAACACGGCGAACAAAGCAAGCCAAGTCTCCCTGCTCAAACAGAGCTCACATTCTAGAGAATCTATAAATAATCATGGGAAGAGTCATCACCCGCCCCCTTCACCCCAGGAAAACCAGGAGAAATCCCAGCACTGGGGCATGGCAGGCTTGGTGGCCCAAACTGGCCACTTTCTGGGATCCGGACACCCCCATGCTGGGACTTCTAGACCCCGCCCCTTACAACTCCTATGTCCGGGACTCTGTGGCTCACCAGTGCCCGGACAGAGTAAACCCAAAGATAGCTTCAGGAGTAGAATGTGTGAGAGTGAATCAGAAGCCGCTTATCACCATGCAACAGCACATTCAGATATATTGTTCATTTGGGGAAGCTGAGCCACAGACAACAAAGCAGGTAAAAGCAAGCATTTTTAGGTGTGAAATGGAAACCAAAGTGATTCGTGCTGACTGAAGTCACTGAAAGGAATCAGGCCTCATGAGAAGGAGCAGGGCCTGGCCAGGGAATGGTTGACCCAGCAGAGCCTCCCCGGAGCCTACGTACACACCTCTCTCCCATTCTGCTTTGCTAGATGAAAAAAAAAAAAAAAAAAAAGGATTCTTTCCTTGTGTAGCCCGGACCCCAGCTCAAGTCCCGAATTCTGATAAAGGGTGGATCCAGATTTTGCGAGGCATGAAGCTCATGCAAATTTGGAAATCCTCTTTAAGAAAAAGAACAGAAAGGAAATTGCAAATACAAAACCAGGTACAGTCCCTAGGAAGCTGCGGTGCCCATGAAGGGGGGCCCCACACAGAGGATCTGGTCAGCTTCCCAGTAAAGTGGGCTGATTTTGAGGCTGACTTTGCACTCTGAGTGTGGCTGCTTCCCCTCTGCAGCCTGCTTTAGTCTGGAAAAAGAGGGGTTGGAAGACAACTTCATGATGGAAATCTGGGCTAATGGCCCCCGAATATGAAGGAGCCGCTTATTAGCATGGTCTCCACTGCTCAGGAGCAGTGTGACAAGCCGTTGTGTTCTTCTCAATTTGCTGGAATGCCGGGTCCTCAGAGCCCCCAGACAGGCTGCTCCCTCTGCCCGGAAAGCACGTGCTCTCCCGTTTCTCATACCTCCCACCCGCCCTGGGAGGTTTGCCTGGTGCTCCTGCTTTACCCCCCGGCCCGGGGTTAAGCTCTGGGCTTTTCCTTTGAAGTGATTACCCAGGTTGTATTCTGGCGTTTGCAGGACTCCAGGGGAATGAGCGTGAACTCCACAAGGAGCTGTCCTCCAGCCCCCTGCCCAGCTCCTGCTGTCCCATCTCGGGTGCTCAGGGCAGGTTTAAGGAATGAAGAGGAGGAGACATCCCTGTGCTACTGGGCTCTTAAACACTGCCTAACACGGCCCAAGGGAAGGAAACCTGATTTGTGGCAGCAGCATGGTGGGCGGTCATCACAGAACCAGCCCCTTGTGAAAAACAGGGCTGGAAGGAGAGGCACAGCTTTTGTTATCTGCAGCCATCACAGAACCTTGAAATAGACCCTGTTCCTCTGCGGGGGTTGGGGCTTTGATGTCTGCTTCACCGTGAAGACTGTGAAACAGAACAACCGCCTCTCCTTACTTTAAAAACAGAAACAAAAACCACGATCCCATTATCAAAACAATTGTCTCAATAGTGGGAAGAGGCTTCAGGGGCTGGAGAGTTTCAATTTCACAATAACAGCGTGGAGCTTCCTGTGGAATTTCTGTAATAGTGATGTTTTTACAGCTATAACACTTCCATGTCGCTGAGAAAGCCTCAAGGTGGGGCTTTTGCTTAAAAGCGATGGCCTTGGTGTGGTCCTTCGCAAGGGATTTCATGCGCATTCCTGCCGCCTGTCTTACCAGGCCCTGTGGTAGAGTACAAGCAAAGTAGGAAAATCAAGTTCTCTCCTAGAGCTTGAACACACTGTCAGGTCCCCCTGGAGCCCCAGGTTTTGGGGAGAGCTGAGCCCTGGAATTAAATCAGATAAGTGATTGGCCTCGGGGAGAGGCACGGACCGGATTATCGCAGATTTAAGATAAGGAAACAAAGCGAGTGAAGGAAGTGTGCCTCGCATAGGCGAGAAACCCAGAGAGGATTTTTCAGAAGAGAGAATGGGCTTTGGAATCAATCAGACCTGGCTTAAATTCTACTTCCATCACTTAATTGTTCTGTGATTTGGGGAGAGATTTATTTTTAACCAATCTGAGCTTGATTTCTTCATGTATAAAATTGGAAATATCGAAATCTCCCCTGTACGACTGGGGTTGGATTCATGATGCAACGTATGTACAGAACCCGCCTCCACGGGGGTGGGGTGGGGCACATGCTAATATCATGTTTATGGGTTGGGTGGGATTAGCATCACATAGTCCAAGACCAGTTTTAGCCAATGGTGTCCTAAATTTTGAAAAGCCTCTGGATGTGCAAATTTGAAAATATTCTGTTCTTCTAAAAACAAACTCCATTTGGTGAGAACAGAAGATGAAATCCGGAAGACCAGATATTTACCGATGGCTCAACTTGAAAGTGTGTCATAGTGAACGAATTGTAAAAAAAAGTGTAAAATGGGAAATGAATCCATAAAAGGAAGGAGACCAGGCAGAACTCACTAGCCACAGATATTACTTGGTCAAAGGAGGACAGGCCTTTTTTAGCATTATTATTCCTCTTGGAATCATTACCATTCCTTTTTAAATGCTAAAAACTTTTCAGTAGTTTCCATTTATAACTCTAGCAAAGCCAGCCTTTCAGGACTCCCAATGCTCCATACAACCCTAGAGAATGTACATTCTTATTTAAAAAATGAAGAAACAAAGGCTGGGAGAGTATTTAGTAACCTGCAGCGGGAGCATGAGGGTTGTTAAAGCTCCTGGCCATGTCCCTAGGCCACAGAGCTCTCCTTGGCATGTAATTACCAGGCTCTCCCCAATTAGCACTTGCTCCTTGACAGGTTGGGACAAATGCTGACTCCAAATGAGGTTTCCAAGTTGGCACCAGCAGCTGAGTGCAGTTGGTTGGCAAGGAGCTAAACAACCCAGTGCCTTCGGCTTCTGGTTTTGCACGCCCTTGAATTGTGCCCAAATCCATGGCCTCCAAGAGGGCCCAAGCAGGCCTTGCTTTCAGTGTCTTTTACAACAAATATACACACACAACTAACCAATCAGACGGGGCTGGGCAGACTGGCCTGATAGGAGATCTACCAACTTCTGTTGATCACCACAAACCACAGGCTGTACCTGTGGGTCCTATATTGTGGGTTGACAAGTGAGACGCAGTGGTCCACAAGTTCTGTTCTGTCCCACACATTGGCTGTCCCATCTCTGAGATGGAGCAGACTGGGACCGAGTAGATCCCGAGGCTCTCAGAGGGCACAGTGAGGTGGAGAGACTAGCTCAGGAGCACGCAGTAGCAGGCCGAGTGCCCAGTCTCAAAACCCAGTCACCTAGCGGCAGAGGGGGCAGACTCTGTCCCTGGCCACCTGCTCTCCTGATGCTACTGAATACCACCCTCACTACTATTTACTTAACAGTGTCTTTCTTTATGTTAATTTGCTTTAAAAAAAAAAAATCTTTAGCCCTATTCTAGGCACCGTGAAATCATGGTCTGATGGACGAGATGCATTTGGTATGGTTTCCATTACAAGTGCAGAAGTTGTACATTCAGTGTAAAAAGTTGAACGATCATGTTCCACCTAGAACCATCTTAGGGGCCAGAAGTGGGATGAGTAAGACCCAGGTGCAAAAGGTGGGTCTAGTCTAAGGTCTGTTGCAGGTTCCCTTCCAGGGCACTGGCCTGTCTGTGATAGCGATCGCTTCCTGCAGAGACTGGGAGGAGGGAGAATGATGTGCGTAGCGCACTTGGAATCATGCCTGGCACGTTATAGCGTCACTCCCATCATTCCATCTCACAAGTGAGACAAGAGGGACCCTACGGAGACAAACTGACTTCTCTCATTGCTCATCGGGTGTTAAGAGTAGGGGCAGGACTCAAAGCTGGGTCTGGGGAACGCAAGCTTTCGGCTCAAACCGGGGGGGCTTGTGAGAAATTCCACGGGTCGTTCCCCTCCACCATCATCGAATTCTGATGAGCAGATCTGGGGCGGGGCCCAGCGATCTGCATTTTTGACAACTTTCCAGAGGCTCTGATGCAGGTGGTCTGAGAATCATTCACTGGGGAAGTGCCAGGCTGGGTCAGAGACCTCCCTGCCCCCTTCTTCCTCCTCAGACCCCCTCCCATGTCTTCTTTCTATGGGGCAGCACCCTAGGTGCTAGGTAAATGCCCCGCTTAGCGCGATTTCCATGCTTGCACAGAAGGGGTTCTGAACAGTGTCTGGGTTTGCATTATGACCTCTGTCAGTGAGATCAGGGTGATAAAATGTGAAGAGGGGGGAAAAAAAGGTAAGGTGGGGGAAAATTGTACCTTCAAATTCTATTTAAGGTAGAAATATGTCATTTCCCAGCTACATGGGAGTTCTCTAGGTCTTACTCAATTCTGTACTGTCCGTGTCTGGCACAGAGCCAGAGTCTGAAATAAGGATAGGATTGTAGAGGAAATGAGTTATTTGGGTTGACTGGCAAGCAAGTTATGGAACCCCCGATTTGACTGCTTTAAACCTGCTTTTTTTTGGGGGGGGGGACATTTAGACAGAGCCTTGTGCAATCAGGTTACCCCCAGTGGAGTTTAGAAAAGTGATTCCCTCCACATTTATCAGGTGACTACTTTGTGCTGTCAGTGCTCTGAGAAGGGGATTGTCCTGGTCTCCATTTGGTAGCTGAGCCCTGCCCTTCTTCTGGGAGGCTAACTGACTTACCCCAGGTCAAATGGCTTCCAGGGACAACACCAGTAGCTCAGCAAGTTCATTTGTCTCTGAGGCCTGCCCCATTTCTTCAAGTCCTCCTACACCTGTGGGTTTTGTGATAGTAGTCTCCAGGAACTGGAGTAATCAGGAATGTTCTAGAAAGCTTCATTTAGGAGCAAACAGATGGACAAAGCCACATCCCAAGGCATTCACCGTCCTTGCTGGGGGGAACAATATGCTCCTAAAAGCTCAGGAAACATGTCTGTCTAGCAGTTTACAGGTGAGGCCTCCTGCTGATCCCTGTGTAGGGCCTGGGGCTTTTGGCAACTTTCATTCTCCACCACTCAGGCTAACATCAGAGGAAGCTCCACTTGTATGCTGGCCTAAAGCACTCAGCTCTCCACTCTACTTCCTGGGAGCTGGAGCCTGACCAAGTGAGTAAGCATGAGTGTTAGCTGAGTGGGTGCATGTTCCATGAAAACCCAAACCCTCTGCATCCATCGGCTGGAGACTAATTAATGCAGCACCCATTGCAACCACTTTCCTCTCCCTTCTTCGAGTGGATGGCAGAAAAAAAAGGGGGGAGGGAGGGAAATCAAATTAGGACTGATCACAGGGGAAACTTTTCAGGGGTGGGGGATGGAAAAGACAGCTACTTGTGCTTGATGTGGTTGCCTGGATCACACACTGGGTCCGACCTGGGGAATTCTCTTCACCAGGGGGTGGAGGGCTGGGGAGACCCCTCTACCTCCCTTTTCGAGGTGACCTCCCACCACCCACACAGTGGAAAAAGAGAAACTTATGTCATGAGAATTTGCATTAAAAAACTAAAGGCAAATGAGCGAGCCCTTGGAGACCCGTGTTTTCATGGGGTTTGCTCAAGCATACCGCACCCCCTGCCCTGGTCCAAGAAGCCGCAGTACAAAATGGCCTCGCTGGGTGGGTGGGTGCCTCCCGAGCTGGGGTGGGCCCTGGGCGTTTTCCACAAGCAGCCATGACCAGAAGGGGAAGCTGTGATTTGCGTTGATTTGGAGAAGGTGGGAGAAGGGCCCAGGCTCTCTCCTGGCGGCAGCAGGAGGCCCGGCCGGTACCCGATTCTGAGGTTTGCACGGGAGGCAGAGGGGCCCAGAGCGCCCGGCTGCCCCACCTCATCACATGGTTCCATCCCCTTTGTCCCGGAGAAGGTTCTTTTCATCTTTCCCCGCTTAGGCTTAAGGAGGGGCGTTGGAACAGACAGCCACTAGAGTTGCCCTGCCTGGGGACCCAAGTGGGTGGCGGGGTCTCTGCTTGCTCCCTTGGGAGCATCCGAGGGATCATGAGACCATGTATAACTTGGTGTCTCCATTCTGGAAGCAATGAGAAGGCGCCTCCTTGCTGAAGGGGCCACAGAAGTTGTGGAATGAGCAGTAGAGACAGGCGCCTGGCACGGCGGACTCTCAGCAGGCAGGATGGTGGCCATCTGTGCATGGGAACTTTGCAGGGTGCAGGGCTGCGGGGTGTGCGGGGAACGCGGGGCATTAGCAGAGGGAGACTGAGCACCAGCACTGTGACATCAGATAGGAGGTGGAAATGTCCCAAGGGGACTCACCCTGGGGACCCTGATGGATCTCCTGACCATCCCCTTCCCAAGCCCCTCGAGGACCCACAGAGTGCGCTGCCACCACCCCACCCAGAGCAAAAGGGGCTTTACTCTCAGCCTTTGCCCTCTGCTTGCTGATGTCCTCTTAGGGCTCTCTGGCCAGTCTCTGAAGGGCTCCTCAGCTTCGGGAATCCGCCTCTACCCAGCAGCGCCGCGGGAAGCTGACTTCTGTCATCACTGCACAACCCATGGCCTCGTGCCCTCCCCCTAGGATGGCTAGCCCTGTGATCCCACCAAGGGGACCCAGGATTCCTTTCATTTCAGGAAGATTTCCTCGAGCTAGTGTCTAGCTTCATCAGGTTGCACGGCAAAAGCTTCTGCAGAGCTGTGATAATATTAAACTCACGATAATATTATATCACGGCTGGCTGGCAGGGTGTGGTAAGCAAGAGCCTAGCTTTCAGAATCAGACTGGCCTGCGTTGGAAATCTGACTCTTCCCGTAGCGGTTCACATTTCCTTAGTGAGCCTCAGTTTCCCCACCTGTCAAATAAAGGTGGAACGAGCTGTTCTCAAAGGTCCACCACACAAGCCAGCCGCCCAGCAGCCACTCACGGCATCCCTGCTCAATCTTTTGAAATGCTAACCATGAGCAAGTTGAGAGAGGCAGCTACCATGAGTGCCTCTGCACCCCGTGCCCTGCTTCACCAATTGTCAGCAGCCCCGGTCGCTCGGTCTTGGCCCCAGCTCTCGAACGATGGAGTTCAGCATCACACCCAAGAGCCAAGAAGCCAGACTTACCATCTGGGCTGGGCACAGGCCTCTCGGGAGGGGCTGGGCTGGATCGCATACTGTTTCCCATCGCTCTGTCTCCCTGGGCTGTCGAAGATGCTCGAAGCCTACGGCACAGGGGATACACACAGCAAGTCAGCCACGCACCAAGCCCTCTGGGTGAGGAATGACCTAGTTTAGAGTACATGGTGCATCACTTCTCAGCAGCTCACTTCTTGAGGGGCGGGTGTTTTCATGTGAAGTTGAGATCCGTGAATGTTGGTTACATTTGCTCAGCCCCAGGTCTTTTATCAAGGGAATGACAGAGAAAACCACAGAGAGGGAAGTTGTGAGCAAATGCTGTTGGTGGCAGAAGTTTCCATTACTCCGAGCCCTGGCTGGCGGAAAGCAACCAGCGGTGCCTTGTGTGCAACGTGAGGGGCGTTTCAGGGGGGCCGCAGCCCCTCCCTCCCCCACTCAGGACCCCGTCCCAACCCCCATGCATGGGGAATTGGGAGCAGCTGACACCCAAGGAGGTACCAGCTTGACAACCAGAGGGGGGGTGAGCAAAGGGTACTTTCTGCCCCAACTTTCTCCTGCGTTCGTTTCTCCTCATGCTCTAACCCACGGTGAAGAAGGGAAACTCCATACCAACGCTGCATGCTTGCAGCGTGCCCCATTCGCACATCTGCTGTGACTTCTGATAATTGTCAAGTCCCTGCATCCCTCACCCCATTTCTCAGTGAAGGCAACCGGGTCCCCAGGAGGGTAAGGTCTTGTCTAAGGTCACACAGCATGGATTTGAACTGCGGAGCCTCCAGTTCCATATTGGTTCACATTCTGGCTCTGTGCATCCAAGCGTGGTGACCTTGGGCAAGTGATGGACCTCTGCCTGCCTGTTGCAGGGAATGATAATGAAACAACATTCAGTCGTGGCTGCAAAATTAACAGATAAAGCACAAGAAGCCCTGAGAACGTGGCCTGGCCTAAAATCCTTTTTTTTTTTTTTTTAAAGATTTTATTTATTTATTCATGAGAGACAGAGGGAGAGAGAAAGGGGGGGAGAGAGAGAGAGAGAGAGAGAGGCAGAGGGAGAAGCAGGCTCCCAGGGAGCAGGGAGCCCGATGCGGGACTTGATCCCAGGACCCTGGGATCATGACCTGAGCCGAAGGCAGACGCTTAACCATCTGAGCCACCCAGGCGCCCTGGCCTAAAATCCTAAAATCCATGTTAATGATAGCAATTTATAGTGTATTTTCAGATTGTCCATAATGATAAACATTCAAATTCTGGGCCCTCGTACAAGCGTTTTAGAAGGGAGCTTAGGGCAATCACAGAAAATGTGTCTTCTTGGGATCCTTGAGGCACAGAGAAGAAGGCCCTACCCATAGTCAGAGCCCTTCTTGTCTCGTGGGGGTTAGGAGGAGAATGGAAGGGCAGGGTCCCCCAGCTGGGGCTGCCCAACTGCAAACTTACACTCCACCCCTTTCTTTGTCTGCAGTTTAGGGTGGAGAACTGAGTAGCTTGAAAGGGTCCAGAAGTCTGTCAACCCAACCCCCGCCCTGGTCTTAAATCCTTCCTCTATGCACTGCATATTCACATTCTGGAAAGATCTGTGCTCTCGGCAAGGATTTCCAGAGATTGAGGGAAGTCTGTATCACTTCCTAATTTACTGAGGAGGAGGTGGGCAGGTGGGATATTTAGTGTACTAGAAAACAAGAAAAACCAAAATGAGTTTTGCTTGAAAGTTAATATATTTTAAATATTTACATGAATAGTTCATCAGTCGTAACTCAAATAGTTCACTTATAATTGTGTTCTTCCTAAGATAATTATAAACTTGCAAGAACTCTAAGCCTAAAATGCACCAAGAAAGTGTGGCCGGAATGGATCCCACATTCAAAGTTAAGAACCCCATCTTCTGATCCTGTTGACTGAAAACAACAGAGATAGTTCTAGGGTGCGGCCCCTCGGGGTGTAAGTCCCTCCTTTCCCCTTCTTACCACCCCTCCCCTGACCCCATACAGCCAAAGGGACACCTTTGACCTTGGCAGGACCCTTCCTGCAAGCCAGGCAGGTTTTAACAGCATCACCCTGGCTCTAGGAGGCAGAGACAAGTTGTCCTTTCCCCCAGCTCCTCGGCTGGTGTAGGCACTCAAGAGAACGTGCTCCTAAAAAGTGCTCAAAAGACCATGCCAGTGGAGTGGCTGGGAGCCTCACTCCCTGCAGCTGGGTCCTGGGCCCTGAGCCAGCACCTGGAGAAAGGCCGGCCCCTGTGGTCCCACCCACCCGACGGGGACCTCGGGCCACCTCTGAGGCCCCACCTTACACATGTCCGGGGAAGGAGCAAAGAAAGTCGCCTCTGACTCTGAGGAGATGGCTCTCCCCCACGGAGCTGCGCCCCTGTGTGCTATGCAGAGATGTCCCACAGAGGCCTCTGCCGCTCTCTCCTGCTCCCCGTGCTTTCCTGGAGCCCGCCAGTCACCCCAGACCATCAGCTTCCCTGACTGTCATTACCAAGGCCCGGAGAGAGCTCTCAGGACGGGCTGGGGAGAGGTGTTGGAGGTCTCCCGTCTGGGGATAACTCTGAAGCACGCATGCTGGCCTCGTCCCTCGTCCTGCCTCACGTGCCCCCACACCACAGCGCACCCCAGCGGTGCCGTGCTCTTCCCTGCGGCCTAACACTTGCACCGAGCATCCGTTAAACACCAGGGACTGTGCCTTGACCCCGGCCCCATGTTGGGTGTCAGCTCCCAGCCCGCAGACATGCCCCCGGCCCAGCCCTCCTCTCCAGCTTCTCACTCGGAGCCCCTTCTGGGCAACAGCCTGCAGCCTGCAGCCTGCAGCCTGCAGCCTTCACGTCCTGCTCTCTCCTTCCTTCAACCACAGCTGCAGTCAAGTCACGGGGAAGAAAAGACTTGGTTATCTATCAAAGTGAATTCCGACTTCACTCCCTCCCGACAACTTTGCAGTTCTTCTCAAGAACGCGTGTGGGATTGGGGGCACTCGTGGAATCGGGGACAGGAAAAAGAAAGGCTCGAGGCTTGCGTTTCTCAGGCAGGAAAACTGAGGTCCTTCCAAGAAAAGAAACATACCCAGGGTGGCGACATGCGAAAGGTCGGGTAGGTCCCAAAGGTCTGACACACTCCCTCAGCCCTGTTTCTCGCACTCTGGTCTCTTCGGTCTCGGGTCGGCATGCACGCGCCAGGCCGCCAGGCCACCACACCCCGTGCTGTTCGGAGAAAGGTCTCAACAGCCCTGAGTGGTCTGCTCGCTGGCTTCCCGTGTTCTCCAGGAAGGAGTTAACTTCTCTGCGAGAGGCTTTCATTTGAACAGAGTAAAAATGCCCCCAGAGACGGAGAGCCAGATTCTCCCTAATGAAATGGCTGAGCAATCTGATTTAATCTGTGACAGTTTTATGCAGGGGCTGGAGGTGGGAGAGAGGGTAGGAGACACATAATTGCTTCTAGGAACAATAAAGAAAGGGCAAAAGAGAAATGAGTTAATTAACATTAGCTCTGAACATTTGGTTTCTTCCTCGCTTGCCTTTGTGATGTCCAGGATCAGAGCTCATGTTTGCCTCTTAGCCTCCCCCTAGTCTGTTTTCTTGGCATGAACTTGGGCCTCAGTTGACTCTTCTGAAAAATGAGAGTGAAAAAGATGGTGTCCAAAGACAAAGCCACTTTGCCCCTTTTAATTCTAGGAATCAAGGGTCGGTGAGTTTCTGAAGACAATTATTAGAAGAACCATCATCAGTTCTCTTATCAAGTCCCATTACAGAATCCAAACCCTGACTTCATATTCTTCAGGGTCAAGGGAAGGCTGTTCCTGTGTGCTCCACCTTCTGGTGGGCAATTGCCTTTAACCCGCCCAGCCTCCCTGGGAGGCCAGCTTCCTCCTCCACCTTCTCGGGGTGGAGGTCAGCTGCTGAGCTCACCTGTCCACACTCGGAGAGCTGCAACGGTGCGGGGCAGGGCCGCAGGATGCACACCTACCTCTCCTGACTTCAGCACCGATGTCCTTTGTCCTCTCCCAGGGGGCCGTGCCACTGCCTGTCTCCAGGGAGGAGGGAAGATCACCCAGGACCTCTGGGCAGTGGGGATGCACGGTACAGAGAGGCCCCACGGACGCAGGGAGTTACCACTTGGGATGTGGGAGGTGCCTGCCAGCAACCTGTCTCTGGTTAGCTTTCTCTGTGACCAGATTAGGGATCCTTCCATTGCGTGTTCTGCATTATCTTATAAATAGAGGGGGCAGGCTTCTGAGAACCTTCCATTCCCGGATGGTATCCCGGGACCATTCTGTGTACTTTATCCACTTTGGGCTTCTAATATCCGGGCCTCTCTGTCGGAAGGGCAAGTAGCCTGAACCCCTACATAGCGTGCTGAAGGTGGAGAGTCGAGGAAGCCCAGCCGAAGAAAGACAGGTCTGGACTTTGTAATAAAACCAGGAAGAGTTGGAAAACCTTGATGACAAGGTTTAATTAATATAAAAATCTATTTAGGGATGCAGCCTTCCCTTTGGCCTTAGAGAGTTCCCCCACAAAGAGTGGCTGTACGTCCACTCACGTGACCGGCTTCTAAGGTGTGGAAGCGTGATGCCCCCAGTGAGGAACCTCCCCATCCACCCTGCCCGGACCCCAGGGGTGGCAGTAGTCCCCGGAGGCCCCCCCCACCCACCGTGGCTGAGCAGCTCTTCCTCCATGCCCGGTGCGTCCTCCCTTGTCGCTCACAACAACCCCCTTTCAGAGGTGGGACAAATTCTGTAACTTCTCCAAGATTATGTAACTGGTAAGAGGAGAGCCTGGGCTCCAAAGTAGCCATGCTCGCCACCTCCATGAGATGCTGCCTTGCTTTCCTGCCCCTCTGGGTCACAGAGAAATGATTTTTTTTAAAGTTCTCGAAGTAAATTTCTGGGACCATAAACTTTTTGGGGGAGACCTTAATACAAAGGACAGGGAGGTCTGGAAGGGCCTCTGGGAGGTCAGATGGCAATGTTTGGAATCCATGTCTGGGGATCTGGCTGGAGGGGAGCAGAAGGGACAGAAGAGAGAGAGGCAGGGAGGGTGTACTCAGGCCTCAGCTCTTAGGTGGCTTGCTGGGGTCAAAAGAGCCGGAGTGAATCACGT